AAGAGAAATAAAATAATACTTTTCTTATTATTTATAAGAGAAATAGAAAAATAACGAAAGTAATGCGGTAGCTATTATTTATGGTTTACTATTTGAGGGACTCCACATATGCTAGAATCTCATTTGCTCTTCACAAGATTATTATAAGACACGTGGTAATATTTCCATTTTACATATGCAGAATTGTAGGTGTAGATTAAGTCACTTGGCTGAAGTGCTAATCAGTGGCAGTCGAAAAAATGGAAATCCATGTCTCTTTGTTTCCAAGTCCCATTCTCTTAACCACTATGTACATTATCTCCCAATATGTATGTATGGATTAAGAATGAGTACAGGAGCCCAATTCACAATTGCAAAGATATGGAACCAACCTAAGTGCCCATCGACGAATGAGGAGATAAAGAAAATGTGATATACATAATGGAATACTATTTGGCCATAAAAAGGAATGAAATAATGTCTTCACAGCAACTTGGATGAAGCAAGAGGCCATTATTCTAAGAGAAGTAACTTAGGAATGGAAAACCAAGCACCATATGTTCTCACTTATAAGTGGGAGCTAAGCTATGAATATATGCAAAGGCATACAGAGTGATATAATGGGCTTTGGAGACTTAGAAGGGGATACTAGTCTGGTGACAACTGCACTAAAATCTCAGAATTAACCACGATATAATTCATCCATGTAAACAGAAACCACTTGTAGCCCAAAAGCTATTAAAAAATATATTTAAAAAGTTTCAAAAGAAAGCAATAGTACAATTAAAAAAAAGAATGAGGACAAGATATTAACCAAGGTTTCATTATAATTTGTATGGTCCCTAGACATCTTTGCCTTCATGTATCCCTTCCTTCCTTAAGAAATACTTAAAATTATGTTAATTTAAAGACTAGCATAAGCAAGTATAAGCAAGACTGGATTCATTATAATATATTCATTAGTGTTATATTCATTTTTCCTCTAATTTTAAAAGAAATTAAAACATTTCTATGGGTCTCTAAAAGAATTCTGATTCTAAATAGTATGACTACGCCTGATGGATAACTAGGTCCCAGCATCAAATTGCACACAGAAGTCAAACAAGCAATAGCAAAGAAAAGAGAGACAGAAAAAACAAAACAAAACAAAACAAAAAACAAAAAAAAAACACCCTTTTGATGTCACATTTTAAAAGCCAAAGAAATAATGTTTCTTCTTTTCTAAACAGTAAAGGGCAAAGGGCAGTAGGAAGTAATTGTAACCCATGAGGGTTGCTTTGGGGTGGGGAGCAGATTATACTGTACATGGGATGCTCAGAGTCTCAATTTAACATGTTGAAAGAAAAGACACCAGGGCAGGAATTAAACTTGTCCCCTGACAGAAGCAGGCAAGGCTTTTGTGCTCAATTGTGTTCAGCTCTCCTGGAAAGGAAAGTTCACATGAAGAGTTTTGAGATCCTGCTTCATGGGACCCACCTTGACTGGGCTATGACTACCTCATTCCTCTCAAACTGAGACACCCATGAGCAGAGGGGCAGGCCTCAGAAGTCAAGTCCCTGGAGACAGCATGGAGTAATGAAAACAGTGATTTTTTTTTTCTTTTTTGAGTTGGAGCCTTGCTTTGTCGTCAGACTAGAGTGCAGTGGCATGATCTCGGCTCACTGCAACCTCTGCCTCCCAGGTTCAAGGGATTCTCCAGCCTCAGCCTCCCGAGTAGCTGGGACTACAGGTGTGCACCACCACGCCCAGTTAATTTTTGTATTTTTAGTAGAGATGGGGTTTCACCATGTTGGCCAAGATGGTCTCGATCTCTTGACCTCGTGATCTGCCTGCCTTGGCCACTCAAAGTGTGGGATTACAGGCGTGAGCCACCACGCCTGGCTGAAAACAGTGATTCTTAGATCTGGTACAACCTTCAGCCTCTCTACCCAGTAACTGTGTGGTTTTGGATGAACTAGGTTTGTGGTGCCTTACCACAGTTTTCTCTTGCAGTTTTCTCATCTGTAAAATGAGGGCCTTTTGGCAAAGACAGTGCTCACCAGATAGCCACATGTTTTGCTCCAATTCACTGCCAATGGCTGGCCAATGGGCTGCAAATAGTGGTGACATGTTTCCAGTTCAGGGTAAGGCAGTGAAAAGCTGGTATATCTCCATATGTAGCTCTTCTCCCACAGTATATCGGGAAGGCAAATGTGCAAGACAGCATAGCTAAAAATGATAAATGGCCCAAATTCATGAGAGACTGCCTGGAAGAGAGCTACGCAGGTAGGCCACCAGATCCACATTGAACTTTAAGTCAAAGTGAAATAAACTTCTGGTTTGGGGTTACATGTTACCACAGCATGCCTTAGCTTATCCTGACTAATACAGACTTAATACCAATTTTACTGAATTGTGGGAATGAAATGAAAGGGTGAATGTAAAGCATCAGAAATGTGTCTGGAAGAGACAACTCACTCAGTAAACACTTTTTTTTCCCTCTCAACTTTCAAAAACTGCATTTTGCCCCAAAGGATTAATCATTGCCCAAAAAGTACATTCTGATAAGACCCCCCCTCCTTTTTTTTTTTTGAGACAGAGTCTCGCTTTGTTGCCTAGGTCAGAATGCAGTGGCGTGATGTCTCGGCTCACTGCAAGCTCCGCCTCTGGGGTTCACGCCATCCTCCTGCCTCAGCCTCTGGAGTAGCTGGGACTACAGGCGCCCACCACTGCACCTGGCTAATTTTTTGTATTTTTAGTAGAGAGGGGGTTTCACCGTGTTAGCCAGGATGGTCTCGATCTCCTGACCTCATGATCCACCCACCTCGGTCTCCCAAAGTGCTGGGATTACAGGCGTGAGCCACCGTGCCCGGCCAAGACCCCTTTCTTATAATACTTTAGTGCTGGGACCTAGACACAGAATTCTGAAAAAGATGAAGGTTTTACACAGCCTCATCAACAGAGGCCTTCAAGCTTCATATAGGCTCCTGTTTCCTACAGCAAACAGTACAGACACTTTGCAGAGCCTAAACTCAATCCGACTCATTTCCCCTGGAGTGTAGAAAGATGCAGGTGGGGGAAAGTAGAGAGAAAGTATTCCTGGCACAGTGTTTTACACTTTTGTTTAGGTGTCTTGTTGCCAGAAGGCTTACCAACGTGGACTCAGGAACATTACCTAGAAGCTTGAGTGAGGGCTTGCTGCGACCCAAAGAGGCAGCATGCAACTGAATACTACTCCATCTACAATCTCAGCATCCTGTGATTCGAGGCCCTTAGACATGACTTAGAACAATACGGCATGCTAGAGTAGTTGAGGCCCAAAGTGGGGAAGGGCTTACCCCAGGTCCTCCTGCTGGGAGTGGCTACATTTTAGTACTTCCTCTGCCTCTCCGAGCTCTCTCTATCCACCAACGGACACTCCAGATTGGCCAGCCTCTCATCCAATCACCTCTTCCTTATGTCACCTGCCTGAATGGGAGCTGTCAAAAATGAACACTAAAATAAGGCTTGGCAAGCTTTTCCGGCATCCATTTCACTGTAATTTCTCTAACTGCACATTGGATTGATGCAGCTATTAAAAGTCAGCCCTACCTTGGCAATCAGACAGAAAAGCTATAATCACCCCAGGCATTTCCAAGGGACCTTTCAAAGAATATCATTAATTCTGAATAAAGCTCTCCCTCACCAACACTTTCAATTATAGTCTTGACATTCCTATTTTATGCTGCAAAATTCCTCTGCCATTTAATGAAGAAGAAAAAAGGCCTACTTTTAAAATCGCATGTATTTGTCTGGTAGCCTAAGTATCTGAGTTAATTTTCCAAAATTAAAACAAAACTAATAACAAAAAACTTTCCTTGTTTTTTTTCCTCTTCTATGCACCGCTTCCCTCCCCCATGTATTGTATCTGCAAAGGGCAATAAATCCTGTTAATCTAAAGGACTGGGAGCGTGTTAATTCAAATACCTGAGACCCTCAAAAGAGAAAGTTGAGGCTTCCAGAGTGAGAAGGATGCTGAGCACCTATTAGATCCTGGCCAAAAGGCAGAAAGCTTCAGACAGAATAATAAATACGGTGAGAGAAGATCTGCCAATTGCAATTTTGCTCATCTCATTACATTTCTAGCATTGTCTTCCTGCTCCTTATGGATTGCCGGGCAATATCCTGTTGAACCCCTTCTTTATCCAGCCAGTCTGCCACCCAGTGTATGCCAGCCACTATGCCAGGGGCTCTACATTCTTCATCTCACGTAATCCTCACTAAGAGCCCTAAGAATGAGGAATGAACATGTTTAAAGATGAAGAAATGAGACCCACAGATATTAAGCAACTGTCCCAACGTCCCAAGCTGGGATTTGAATCCATGGTTCTCTTTCCTAAATCACTAGAGGATACCTCTGGGGTTGAGATAAGAAAAGTAAAGTGACACCGATTATTATATTTTAAAATCCTCACTTTTCCCCTTGGCAGGGTGCTGGCTAATAGAGTTGGGGAATAGTCTCTGAACTGCAGGGGATAGACTGGGGTACCGTAGAGACAGAAAATAAGGCGTGATTGGCCACAGGAATTTCTGCAAGACGAATTCCCAGTCCACTGCATCCCCGCTAGGTCTAGTTGGGACCAGGAAGTCGCGGCTGCAGGACTCACATGGACGGGGGCGTTTCAGGGGGAAAACAACAGATAGTGCAGGAACAGGGTGTGCCCTCATCGCTACTGAGACAGGCTGAACCTACAAGCCCCACCGGCCATGTCGTGCGCCGTGGGTCGGTGTCAGATCGAGCTCCCTAATGTGCAGATGGTGAAACCTTTTCCTCTGCGCGCACCAAGTACGCAGCTGGCGAAGCCCCCGATTGCGTGCCAGATGCGCCGGTGACTAGCCCCTCGGTGTACACTTCAGAAGAACTGATAGCAAACTTTTCCTCGTGCGCCCCAGGTAGGCGCGCGCTCCAATCGTACAAGCTTCCGCCCACTCTCCCATTCGTCAAGCTGCCTCCTTCTCTAGCAAACCCTTCCCCAAGGAACATTGCGCAGCCCACCCCTCACCTGCATGGTGGCCGGCAAAGGCAGCACAGCTCTCCCGCGGCGGCCGAAACGAAACTTGGCTGCCTTGTAGATCTTCCAGTAGACGAATAGCACCACGCCAAGCGGCAGGTAGAAGGCGCCGCAGGTGGAGAAGACGGCATAGGAGGGTTCCTGGCTCACCTGGAAGCGCTGGAGCCGAGCGTCGTACACCTCGCCCCAACCAAAGAGCAGCGGCGCGAGGGCGATGAGCGCAGACAGCGCCCAGGTGAGCGCGATCATGAGCGCCGAGGCGCGGCGGCGGGTGCGCAGCGTGTACTGCAGATGGCGCGTGATGGTCCAGTAGTGGTCCAGGGCGATGGCCGCCACGTTCCAGATGCTGGCCATGCAGCACAGCACGTCGAAGGAGATCCACACGTGGCACAGGCTCCGGCCCAGTAGCCAACGTCGCCCGGTAGACAGCTCACTCACCAGGCTCAGTGGCATCACCAACGCTGCCACTAGTACGTCCGAGACGGCCGTCGAGGCCACCAAATTATGCGGCACGCGATGGAAGGCACGGACCCGCAGGATGGTGACCAGAACCAGCAGGTTCCACAGGAAAGTGGCGGCGATCAGCAGCACTAGTAGCGTCACCACCAGCACCGTGAAGACAGAGAAGGGCGGCTCCCGACCAGGCAGGACGGCATTACCCGGGGTCGAACTGAGTATCCCGCTCGGGCTTGGGCTACTGCTGCAGGTCTTGGGTCCCAGGGCAAGGGCAACGCTGGCGGTGGCCACTGAAAGGTTAGCGGCTTCCATGGCGCTGGGGGTCGCAGCTCCAGGGCAGGGAGCGCACGAGTCGTCAGTGAGCTCAGCGTGGACCGGGCAGGTGGGGGCGTGGAGGGGGTACTGCCTGCTGGGGGAGGGTAGGAGAGGGGTCTAGGTCGTCCTACCCTGGTCCCTCCTGCGGGCAATAGCCCACCTCTGGCACTTATGCCTGCAGTCCCCGTAGACCCTCTTTTCCAGTAGAAAGCGTAAAAGAGAGCAGAACCCCTCAGTCTAGCTCCCCCTCACCAGTCCCTCCCACCACCTCTCTTAGCGGTCCCGGGTGCCACCGACTGTCAGGGGGCTGGGAATCAGCGCGGCCGAGTGACCCAGCGCAGGTTGTGCTTGGAGAGTTGCCCCCTCCCCCACCCAGCGGCGGCGGGAGATGAGCTGCACCTGGAGTGGGCGGGGGTGGGCGGAAGCAGGCGGTGGCTGGAGAACCCACCAATAGGAGCCGGGCCTTCAACTCTGTCCCAGCCGGTTTCCCTGCCTCTGCGAAGCAGAGAAGATACTAACTGAGGTAGTCTACGCGAAAGGTTTACAACTGGGGAGAAAGTTCCTTGCCATCACCTCCGCGGTCCCCTCGCACCTGCTGGTGGCGCGGTTTGACACTGGGAAACAAGGGTACCGCCCTGCCCCAGTCAGGGGCTTCTGGTTTCCTGTCATCTCGATTCTACCTATACCTGAAATAGGAAACCCAGGTATTGGAGTTTACAAAACAGAAGGCTCCTAAGCCCAGCCCGATCCTGCCGCTTCGTTTCCAGCAGTCCGCCCGGCGAGGGCTTGGTAGCGCCTTGAGAAGTTCACTCGCTGGCTCTGTGCGGAAAGAACGCGACTTCTGAGCAATCTGGCAGACATCTAGAAGAGGGACCCTTTATACCATCATCTTCGCTAACTCTAACCTCCCCCATCATGTCCCCACCTCCAACATACGCGCACTCTCCACCCAGCCCTGCCCTTTCAGTTTCTAACATTCCTGACTATATGTCTTCACATCCAGGTTCAAACTGGAGTTATTTTTGTTGAGCCTTGGGCAAAAGCAGGAACCAATTAGAAAAGCGAAATTCCCCCAGCCTCTCACACTTAAAAAATACTTCAGTCATTATTAACTCAATCTTATTCTGTTTTCCCGGGAGTAGAATAGAAACATAAAGAACACAGAGCCCAAACCGCCCCTTCTCTTGTCAAGGTGAGAAGGGTTAGACTTCAAGCAGGCTGACCTGGCTGGTGCCTGAATGACCTGAGAATGGGGGAGAAAGGGGCTATGAAACATACAAGGTGCAAACTCCAAGAAGCAGGTTTGGACTTGATCATGGAGAAAGCTGGAATTGAGAAGATTTTGAGAAAATTGACCTGATGAAGAGAATGTGTTAGAAGAAAAGGAATACTAGCCTTTGAAATATTTTATATCTCTCCATTTTATTGAACAAACATTATAATAAGAGCAAAGAATATTAGAAATGTAAAAACATGCATATTGCACTAGCCAGATGTATCACGTGCTTTTACTTGCATCTTTTGTCCCTATCCACATACTTTTTTTTTTTTTTTTTTGTGACAGAGTCTCGCTCTGTCACCCTGGCTGGAGTGCAGTGGCTCACTGCAAGCTCCGCCTTCCGGGTTCACGCCATTCTCCTGCCTCAGCCTCCCTAGTAGCTGGGACTACAGGCGACCGCCACCTCGCCCGGCTAGTTTTTTGTATTTTTTTTTAGTAGAGAGAGGGTTTCACCATGTTAGCCAGGATGGTCTCGACCTCCTGACCTCATGATCCTCCCGTCTCGGCCTCCCAGTTTACTGATTTTTTTTTAAAAAATTACAATTCGCAATTTTTTTTTTTTTTGGGTTTTTTTTTTTTTTTTGCATTTTTTTTTTTTTTTTCTTGGGATGGATTCTCCCTCTGTCACCCACGCTGGAGTGCAGTGGCGTCTTCTTGGCTCACTGCAACCTCTACCTCCTGGGTTCAAGTGATTCTCCTGCCTCAGTCACCCAAATAGCTGGGATTACAGCCATGCACCACCACGCTGGGCTAATAGTTGTGTTTTTAGTGGAGATGGGTTTCACCATGTTGTCCAGGCTGCTCTCAAACTCCTGACCTCAAGTGATCTGCCTACGTGGTCCCCCCAAAGTGCTGGGATTACAGGTGCGCTGCCTGGGTTTGTTTTCTTGATATGTTTTCTCCCGAATTTAATTATGTAGTTAAAATATAGGAATGGTGTAACTGTTCTTTTTATGCATTTTCAAATTGTACCTCAGAAAAATTTAATGGTGTCAGTTTTCTTAGCCCTGGCTTTAGAGAAATAAAAAAGAAACGAACAGCCTTGCTAAAGCAAATTTTTATCACTAAAAACAGTGTTTAATTGGTGTATAATGATGTATTTTGATTGTTTTGATTTGCTTTTTTTTTTTTTTTTTTGAGATAGAGTTTCACTCTTGTTGCCCAAACTGAAGTGCAATGGCGCGATCTTGGCTCACTGCAACCTCTGCCCCCCGAGTTCAAGCGATTCTCCTGCCTCAGCCTCCCGAGTAGCTGGGATTACAGGCGCACACAAACACGTCCAGCTGATTTTTGTATTTTTAGTAGAGACGGGGTTTCACCACATTGGCCAGGTTGGTCTCAAACTCCTGACCTCAAGTGATCGATCTGCTTTGGCCTCCTGAAGTGCTAGGATTACAGGCATGAGCCACTCTGTCTGGTTTGATTTGCATTTTTAATTGCTAAAAATGCTACATATTTCCATATGGTGTTTATTATCTATGTATTCTTGCATAAAAACTGTTTATTCACTTTAAACTACTTTATAAAGGAATATGGGTGTTGATTTAATGACTATTTATCAACTTTAATGCATTTAGATAACATATTTTAATAAGTTTTTTGTCACATAATTTCTCTTTATTACTCCTCGTGTTTATTACATTTTGTTGAATAAGTTTTTACATAATAAAACACATTAATTCTTGTCTCCATTAATATCTTCAACTTAGTAATCATAAATCACTTTCCTATCCTCCATTTGTGTTATTAAAGTTTATGACTAGATTAAAAGTGTAATTATTTGATCCACCTGAGGTGGTTGTTGAATGTAGCAGGAGATGGTGGCTTGGCCCTCTCACCTGCATGTTGTGTATAATCGTTTTTGTTTTGTTTTGTTTTTGTTTTTGAGACAGAGTCTTGCTCTGTCGCCTAGGCTGGAGTGCAGTGGTGCGATCTCGGCTCACTGCAAGCTCCGCCTCCCAGGTTCAAGCCATTCTCCTGCCTCAGCCTCCCACGTAGCTGGGACTACACGAACCTGCCACCATAGCCTGCTAATTTTTTGTATTTTTGGTAGACACAGGGTTTCACCGTGTTAGCCAGGATGGTCTCGACCTTGGGTTACTGCTGCAGGTCTTGGGTCCCAGGGCCTCGTGATCTGCCCGTCTCAGCCTCCCAAAGTGCTGGGATTACAGGCGTGAGCCACCGTGCCCGGCCATGTTGTGTATAATCTTATCCAGGGAAGGGACTGGTTACTGAGGGCTAGACATCTTGGTCATACAAAGACAGGTGTGATGCTATCCTGATCCTAGAGGTTCTTTCATCTATCACAGAATAAAATCTATTTACTGAATATTCACAGTGCAGCAAAATGTGCTAACGATTGATTAGCAGTACCAACAAGCGTTTCTGGCCTTGCTGGGGATAGAAATCACCTCCAATGAGGAGGATCAGAGAAGGCCTCCGAGGGAGGCAACTTTTGATCTGAACCTTAAATATGAGGAAGATTTTCACCAGCAAGTATGGGGAGAAGGGGAAGGAGGCATACTTGGCGGGAGGAGGGTGAGCCAATGCCTGGAGGCAAAAGAACAACAAGAAAACAAAACCCCAAGAATAATCAGGGAGTACCCAGTGCTGACTAGATGGCTGTTCATTCACCTCAGGCTTGTCAATTTTTGATTTTAAAGAAAGTATACATAGAACATTTCTATCATTTTCACTCAGCTGATTCTTTGCCTTTAGTAATTCCGTGTATCTCCCATGGTTACCTTTTTTGCTGTTATTAAAAAACATTCATTCTTCGATATTATTTCCCTTGTGTGTTCTTCTAGATGATTTTTAATATTGTTTTATCAGGGCTTTTTGATTTCTATTTGCTCATTGAGTCTCAGACCAAGTGTTACCACTTTTGAAAAGGTGGTCTTGATCTGCCCCCGTCCCAGTCCTAGCTCGTGCCCCTGCTGTGACTGACCCCAGAAGCCGGTGCTGACACAGGGAAGCACTTCTGCCTCTCTACTAGATGGCAGGCTCCCCAAGGATGTGGCTGGGCACCACACGTCTGTCAGCTTTCCCTGCCATGCACCCCACTTCCACCTCACCCAAGACCTGGCTCAGGCTTAATAAACTCAAATGAATGAATGAATGAGGAAAGATATGAAGAGAACCAAGAACCAGCTTACTCAGGATGGAGAACAGTTGAGGGTGTTTAAGGATATCAGGGAAGACATCTGGTTTTAGAAGCTGAGAAGAAGCTATCTAAGCATAAAATCAAGTGGAATTAAAGAAACAGCACAAGAGAAGGAAGGGCATATACAGAGTTTTGGTTCTTTTTAAAGGTTTGTAGTCAGGGAAGGCATTAGGGCAGGGTCAAGACAAACTCCTGTAGCATAGCCCAAACATCACCTCCTCAGAATGGCCTAATTCATGGGTTCTCAAACTTCAGCCAACATCAGAGTCACCTGGGAAGCTTGTTAAAGCAGATTGCTGGGGCGACCCCAGAGTCATATCTGGGCTGTAATGTGATGAGTCCCCCATCAGATTACTTAAGGGTATGTGTCTGCTGCCGGAACTCTAGAGGTGATGAGCCAAGGCCATGGTGCCCCACCGAGGGGCAGGTGTCCCTGGTAACTCAAACATCCCAGGGAGTATCTGAGACCCTACTAAGGAAAACAGTCCCATCACACACACACACACACACGCGCGCGCGCACACACACACACACAGTAGGCAAACAGCCAGAAAA